AGTTTCACCTGTTATTTCTGGTGTTGGCAGGTCAGCAGCTATGGTAGAGGAGTCGTTAACCACCAAGCTCCCAGAGAACTGACCTTCATCATATACTTTCTTCATTGCTTGAGTGGTTTCATCAACAACCTTCCCTAAGCAAGAACGAAAGAGATATTTCCCTTCCCTGACTTTATCTTCAACACGTTGAGCATGACCAAGCTTCTCCTCTACTTTGTTGAACCAACTTTCAACTTCCTGCTTTGGCTTTTTCCCAAAACGATGCTCGTCCAGCAATTGTTGATGAATATCCCCCTTGCGGTCATGCAAATCTGCTTGAGCTTGTCGGAAACCATCCACGTACTCATTGAATTTTCTGTGGTATTTTAGATACTTTCTAGGCGATTGACCAATGAACTTAATAACCTCAATGATTGGTCCAATCAAGTCCATATTAGCTTGTCCCTGCACCGAATTGTGGTATTGATTCGTCGAAGAATGAATGCAGAGGCATATCAAGTTTATGAAGTAAAGGAATGGAAAAAAGAAAATTGATTGGAGATATATGAAGTAGTAGATAGAAATTAAATAAATAATAGTACTTAGGAAAATCAAATTATGTAGTGCCGCTGTGAACAAAAGATAAATTTTGAGCTTAGGCACCCATTTGATATGAAATCCTCACCCGTAAGCCAGTTAAGCCAAGCTTAGTTCAAGTGGCTGTGATCAGTTAGATTTGGTTACAAATTTTAGATTGGAGTCTAATGTTGTCTTTTTCTAAAAATGAAGACATTGACAATCATGAGCTAGGTGAGAAAAGTGCAATAACATAAGGACACACAGTACGATTCTACAATCTACACCACATACACAGGCAAAAGAATTAAAAAGAAAATAAAAAATCCACCAAAGAAGGTAAGCAAACATTCTTGCAATTTATGGGAATAAAAAATAATAGGATGTTAAAGAAGTACCTTTCCTGGAGGACAGATAGTTATTGGAATACTAGAAGATGCACAGAACAAATGCCCAGAAAGAAATACAACTAGCAAACTTCCTTGCTATTGTCAGCACACTAGCACTCTGCCAAAAGAGATTTACATGAAGAAAGAAAGCAATATTATTAAGTTTAGAGTTCGTATTTCAAGACCATTGCTTATTGCTTCACTACAGCCTTGTTATGTATAAGAAATTGCCTGACAAGAGAAGGGATCAAGTAAGCAACAGTACGCACAGTTTAGGAGGATGAAAAGAAGAAGAAAGGAGCTTGTTAAAGCAGGCTGATACTCGCTGAAAGATGTTGGCCAGACCAAAGAAATGAAAAGTTAGCAGGGGGACCCAATGAAGCTGTTTAGGAAGTGGCAGAGAAATAATGCGGCTAGCCTTTGGCTAATTCCATCTTTCTTTAGACACTATGATTGCAAGTTGATTTTATTTGAGTCATAGTTTAGTATTTTCTTGGTTATTTTATTGTAGTGTTGGCAAACATTTTTGTATTAAAAATGTTTTAGTTTGGTAAGAAACTTGATCCCTTAGTTGCAGTATTTTGCTTTGCTAAAAGCATATATGTTAGAGAAGAGAAAAGATGGTGTTATGACCCATATATAATGTTAAAAGCATTTGGTCATTAGGAAAGGGTCAAAACTTTTTTGCTTTTCCTTTTGCATGAAAAATAAGCACTTTGAATTGGGCCCCGAGTCATGATTAGCTTTTTTTTTTATAAAAAAAAAGGAAAATAACAAAGGAATTGCTACTTTTTTACAAGTAAGGATTTTTGCTATTTTAATTATTTATTTTTAAAAAAATAAAAAATATTTAGATACAAAAGTAAATAGTAAATTTTCAAAAAAAAGTAAATAGTAAATTTTTTAAAAATTATATATAGAATTTTTAATTTTTTTATATTTTGTTTGATTTATATTGTCTTTAGTTTAAAGCATCTTTAAGGGAAGTGAGCAATTAATATCATGACTTGCCCACTTTAATAATTCATTCTCCTGTAATTATACAAGATTTTGCAAGGAGATCTACTTATTGTTGTTTCCTTTATCCAATTTTGTAATACCCCTCACAAAAAAATATATATATCACTTTATTTGATAATTACAAATATAACCTTATGGATATTAAAAAAAAAAAGAAAGCTCAGAAATGACTTTTTGAAAATAGAATATATATATTTTAGTTGATGTTAGATTATGTTATCAGGTTTAAAAAAAAATCAGTCAATTTTACCTTATCGTATATAAGAAAAAATTAGTTAATCTTATCATGTTTTAAATAAAAGTAATCAGTTTTATCTCAACACATTTAAAAGAAAAGAAAAGAAAAAAAACTCACTTCAGTTTATTTCATCAGACTCAAATGACAAGCAGTCAAAAGAGCTTAACACCAGTGAAGAAGAAAGATAGAAAAAAGGGAAAAGTATTCAAGAGATTACTGATTAAGGTATATTTAAGGTTGCATTTTCATAATTTGGGTACAAAAAGCCCAAAATTATATGTGTTTCTTTAACTTTTATTCAAATCTAGCACTGTTTTGGTGACTTTTCAATGGCATAATGGGTACCAATGGAAAGGTCTTGAAAAGATCTTTTCAATAGTTTTTGTAGCATCTCGTTTGGTTTTGTGGTTTGGAAGATACAAAGTTTTAAATTTAATTAAGAACCTGATTTTTCAACAATTTTGATAACTCAATTTTGAGTCACCAGAACTCTATATTCTAATAACATTTTTAGTCGTTTCTTTGAGTGCTTTTGTAGGATGAAATGAGATGTTTAATTTGACGTCAATTGTTCGATTAGAGGCTTCCTGTGTTAAAAGAATTAAAGCATCAAATTAAGCTCATTGATATTGAAAATCTAAAAATTTGAGTATTTATGTGATGATTTCTAGAGTTTTGGCTTTCGAAACTTGAAAATTTTTATTCTGTTTAATCGAAACAAATTTTATGTTGTAGTATGATATGAATGCTTCAAATTAGTGTTGATTGTATCACTAGAAATAATTTGGGTTAAGAGTTATAAGAGTTCAAAGTAGGCCAAATGGCCATCTAGATTCTAAAAATTCTAGAAAATAGAAAATTCATTTTTAAGTTTTTGAAAAATTCGATTTTAATTAATATATGATAAACTTTGCTGTAAACTTCACAAATATTGAATTTTTGATTTCTAATATATTTTTAAGTCTAAAAGTACATATATATTTATTTTGTATAAACTTATTTCTTAAGTTAGTAAATTTTATAAAAAGATCAAAAATTAAGAAAAAATTACAAACATGATTTTTTTATATGAAATTGATGTTATATTTCCATCAGAAATTAAAATCCTTACTAATTTTATGATTTAAATTTAAGTGTCAATTTTATTTGATTTTTATTAATTCATAAAAAAAATTACCATGTTAATTGAAAATGTTTTTAAATTGTAATAGAGGTTGCTATACACCCTAAGTGCTTAGGATGGTCAACGGAAAGTCCCTTGTCAAATTTGTTTGCAAATACAATTCTGATATTTATATATATTTCTTAAAATATTAGGGAACTAGGAAGATTTTTTAATTTACTGCGTAAAAGTAAAATTGACAAAATCAGGTAAGTGATTGATATCCCTTTGGTATTTTTACACCCTAAAAATTAGCCTCAATGTGAAATTGAATTTCATATATTATATATAATATGTTTTGTCCTATGATTTGTAAAAATCGGGTTGAGCATGCAAAATGTACATATATGATTTTAGTATGTTGGATTTTAGAATGTAAATTTTTGTGAAATATGAATTTTGATTTTTGAAATATGAATTTATTTTTTTTAACATATGCATATACAATTATTTTTGTGATTATATATGAAAATACTTAGTTTCAAATAAATATGCTTTTGATGTGCACGATATATGTTTTGTAAAAGTGAATATTATTATTTTGTGAATTTGGGTAATCAGAAAATATATTTTATTTTGTCTCCTAGTATGGCTATGATATGATCCTGCCAATTGGGGTAAATGTTGGCCATGTCTACATGTATTATGTGATTAGAAATTGATCTCTTAACTGAACCACCGATTACAAAATAGTGATACTTGTAATATCTGTTCAGAGCAACCAATGGTTGCTTTTGATAGGGGAGAGCAGCGGTCGGTTGGAACCGCCCAACCGACCGAAACCGACTGTTATTGTAACTGATGGTTGCTTTTGCAACCGTCGGTTGTGCCGATCGGCCTCGTCGGCAGATCGGCTCGGTCGTCGAGGGGAATCCTTCCCCCCCGAACCGACCGAAAAACCGACAACACTGTGCTACCCATGAGTCCCCGCCGACTGCCCGGCTCCTGCTGACCCTAGTCTTCCCCGAACCCCCCGAGACCTGACTCCGTGACCCCTAATTTCTCCCTCCCAACCCGCCGACCTCAGAAAATCCCCCTCCCAAAGTCCCAATCTCTCCCCACACCCCCCACCTGATTCTCCGCCGGCGCCCCTCCCCCTAGTCCCCTACTGCCTCGGCCCCTCGACCTGATTCCCTCGGCCCCCCCACGAGTCCCGAACTCCGTTCCCCCGGCCCCCCTCCCACGACTCGTGATTCCCCCGGCCCCCTCCCAGTCCCACAAGTCCGAACTCCCGATTCCCCCCGGCCCCCTCCCACGGGTCCCCTCCCACGACTCGTGATTCCCGGCCCCCCTCCCACGAGTCCCGATTCCGCCCCCCCATCAAGTCCAGAAATTTCCTCCCCTCGGTGACTACGAGTCCAGGACTTAATTTCCCCCCTTCACCCTTGCTTTTGCTTATCAGTCTTCATTCTTCAACTCAAGTAAATTAAAATTTATTTTATGTTAGTTATTTTGTGATTATTATGTAGATTGTCAATTAAAATAATAATATATCTTAAAATTAAATATTAAAATAATATTTGAGAATTAATGTTGAAATTATTTAACAAAACTTAATTTGAAATTAGTCATTGTATTTTTAACCATTTTAGTCCATGAATCTTTTGGTATTTTAGCCCATTGAATTAATGTACCCATTAATCTTAACCATTTTAGCCCATAAATCATAGTCCAATTTACCTATTTAGCCATAAATTATAGCCCAATTAACCCATTTTAGTCCAAGTCAACTTAAGTCAACCCATTAATTTTATCACCAAAACCGACCGAAACCGACCGAAACCGACATTCAAAAAATCGACTGAACCGACTTTATAATATGGCGGTTCGGTCGGTTATATCTCAAAAATTTTAGTCGGTTTTCCTCAAAACGACCGAAACCGACCGATGCTCTCCCCTAGCTTTTAATATACTTATGACCCATGCCACTAGGGTTAATTGTGGTTTTATGACCCATGCTATTAAGATTGATTAAGGTTTCTGTAATGATTACCTAGTCAAGGGGTTAAGTATGACCATAATACGTTACTGGAGACCATTAAAATCTATAATAATTGTGAAATCATATTTTACTCATTATTTAAAAATTTCAGAATTAAGTTAGTTCGATTATTGAATTAGATTATTGAAAAAATTATGTTTTTGTATATATATGAGAATAAAAACTTTTAGCCTAAATGTTTTATGCATACTTAATCCAGCTGAAGGGATGTTAGTCACTTGGTAAGCTGTTGAACTGACTCTTTTCTTCGCTTTTTTCAGGTTGTGATTTAGTAAACATATGGAAAACTTTGAAAAGTGACATTACGTAGGCTAGCATATAGTGTTAGTTTACTCAGGATTGTTTAAATGTTATGAACGTTTAGTTACCTTAAATTGTTTATTTGGGATTTTATCTCAATATCTTTGGTAACTCTATATATAGAGTTATTTTGATATATTTTGGGGCTTAAGTAGCTAGATCTTTGAGATTTAGATTCGAATTTTAACATTTAGTGTGTTTTTTAGTTTAAGTTGATTACTTGTTAAGTGATTAATTTAAGTTATTTTAGTTAAAGTTTATATTGTTTTGTTTTAATTATTTAAAAGTAGTTATTTTAATTTCTTTATGACTTTTGTAGAAATTGATGAAAAAGGCTCATTTAATGAAAATCAGTGCAAGTATTGATAATGACTTTATTCATTATATTTGGTATATTGATCATATCTCTCTCTACAAAACTCCAAATGAGGTGATTTAGACCGCTACAATTATAGAAGAAGGCTACAACATTTATGTTTACCAATTGCCCAGTTCTGAATCTATCATGGTCAAAATATTGTCAAAGTCGGAGCACTGCAGTAGTACACAAGGACTGAACAAATGCGGTATTTGAAACAATACTTTCAATCTAGGAGTCCAATTGATGTGATTATGATCCATTGAAATTTAGAGATAGGGCTAAAACTTTTATATTATCACTTTGCCCAGTTCGAAATATCAGGATGAAACTCACATTTGAAATTGATAGATGTCACAACACTAGGAGTCAAGGCTGCAACGTTGACAAAAGCAAACACACATACAAATTTCCAGAGAGCTCAAAGCTGCAGCACTGGAGAAGTAACGCCACAGCGCTGGGTGACTTTTCAAAAATAAGAAAAGTTGACGAGATTTGAAAATTAGGTTATTTGGAGCCTATTTAAGACCTTTTTAAAGATTTTGAGGAGGAGTCAGCAAGCAACTATTCTGGATTTGAATCAAGATCAAAGCAAGAAAACAGGAGAATTAGAGGGAGAATCGTGATCACAAAGATTTAACTATTAGTTTTCTCTCTTATTTTTGTGTTTTTTTTTATTTTTTTTGACTTAGATTCCGGTTAAATTTTTTTGAATATTTCTTTATTAGATATTATGAGCTAATTTATTTTTTTAAGATTGCATTGAACTCGCATGTAATCTAAATTTTATATCTTTTTTTACTTATTTTCAATGGGATTTGAATTGTTTATTTCAATTTTTTTAATACTTTAATTGCTTGACCACCAGTTAATTGATTTAAGAATCTAAACAACTTGGGAAGGGAGTTTAGTATAGACTAAAATTGAATAGTAATGATCATATTACTTGATTTGCATATAGGATAGGGATAACCTATAAGCCTATGTAGCCAGATTAGACATAATTTTTAAATCTATTTTATTTCACTTACATAGAGATATAATATTTTGGTTAAAATAGATATTTTTATAAGATGAGTCGAGGAGACCCTTAAATAATTTAGGATTCTTAGCAATCCAAACCATTGAAATAAGTTAAGGAAGAGAAGTAAGATCTAGATGAAGTGTGAGGGATATTGTAATCCTAGGCTTATTTGATTTGATATTTACTCAAGTTATTATTATTTTTTTATTTTTCCTATTAGTTTAAATTTTAGTTAATTAGTTTTAGTTAATCAATTAATTTTGAGTGTTTGGATAAGATTAATTTGTTCTAATTTTAGTACTTAGTAAAATTTTAGATCAATTTTTTATAGGATCGACACTCTGCTTGCTAATATATTATCTATTCAATACGTATACTTGTATAGTAAAATTTTAATTAATAATCTTAGCTCTGAGAATTATTATATTTCATAAATATATTTGACTCTTTTAGTTAGTTGGTTAAGATATCTGTTATGAGCCTTGCATGTTTGTAAGGTTATATCTTGTAAGTATGTGGCGATTGTTGTACCTCAGGTTTGAGGCGTGACAAATTTAATCAACACAATTCAAATAACTTTTTATTATATGTCAAATAGTATATCCACGGAAGAAATTAATAAAAAATCAAATAAAATTAATATAAAGTTAAATTAAATTCAGTTATGATAAAGTAAGAATATTAAACTTAAAAGTCTCAAGTCTTCCTTCTTATCATGGAGATAATACCTTTGGCTCTACTGCATCTCTTCGATCATGGCTAAAAATAGCATGAATCGATCAGAAATAGTATAAAGTAGTTAATTTGATATGAAATCCAATTAAGCCCTAAACCAATTATGCTAACGTTAATTCAAGTGGTTGTGATCCGTTAGGTTCAGTTACAGATTTTAGATTTGAGTGTAAAGTTGTTTTTTTTCTTATGTGTGAAAAATACAAGACATAAGGAAAGACAATATTATTCTTCGATCTATACCACAAAGAAAAGCGAAAGAATTAAAAATAATAATAGCAAAAAAAAAAAAAGACTCCCCAAGTTAAGAAGGTAATTAAGCAAACATTCTTACAATTAATTATGGGAATAAAAAATAATGGGGGTTAAAAAAGTACCTGTGTTGAGTGACAGCGACAAAGAGTGTTGGAAGATGTTGACAATAACAGTAGAAGATGCAGAGATGAGAGAACAAAAGCCCAGAAAGTAATTTAATCAGCAAGCTTTCTGCTAAAAGAGATTTACATGAAGAAAGAAAGCAACATTTTTAAGGTTAGACTTCATATTTCATGACTATATATTGCTTATTGCTTCACTACAGTCTTGTTACGTATAAGAAATTGCCTGAGAAGAGAAGGGATCAAGTAAGCAAAAGTACTCACAGTTTAGGAGAATGAAAAGAAGAAGAGAAGAGCTTGTTACAGCAGGATGAGACTTCCTGAAAGATGTTGGGTAGACCAGACAAAGAAAACAAAGGGCAATCAATTGAAGAAATACAGAGGGGGAGTGATGGAAAAACTAAGAAATTAAAAGGTAGGAGGGGAAGTCAATGAAACTGTCTAGGAAGTAGCAGAGAAATAATGCATTGGCCTTTGGCTGATTCCATCTTTCTTTAGACACCATGATTGCAAGTTGATTTACTCGAGTCATTGTTTAATATTTTCTGGGTTATTAGATTGTTAGCTTTATTGAGTTATTTTATTGTGGCATCGGTAAACATTTTTCTTATTAAAAATGTTTTCATATTTTACATACTTCACCATGTTGGTTTTGTTTAATCAGAAACTTGATCCGCAAATTGCAGTCTTGCTGACTAATTACAGAATAATAAATCCAAGAAATCTCCCTTTTCATATGTATATATCAATGAATATATATTACAAGACGAAATATAGCTCATTGTTTTGCTTTTTTAAAATATTGTTATGATTAGAAAAGCCAAATAATAATTTGGATGGTAGTCTGGATTTTGGAGAAATTAAAGCTCTGAAAACTTTAGAAAATGATATATGATCATGTCTGCCTTTTGGATTGTATGATTTTGCAAGTCAATTTTATTCAGGTCATTGTTTAATATTTTCTTGGTTGTTAAACTCTTTAGATAAATTGGGTTATTTTATTCTAGTGTCGGCAAACTTTTTTTTTTCCCACTTGGCCATGTTGGTTTAGTTTAAACAGAAACTTGTCTATTAGTTGCAGTCAATGCTGACTAATTACAGAATAATTAAACCAAGATGCCTATTATTCAGGTCATTGTTTTCCAAGTGATGATGCAGACCAAATACAGACGGTTTCAAAGTAGACATTGCCACAGAAATCAAGTCATAGCAAAGTTGAAGGCACCCATCTGACAGTACTCACTAGTAATTGAAAAAATATAAGATCAAAGAAAAGGTAAGCAAAGAAAGAAGCAGGAACCTAATAAGATCCCCATTTTCAGTTTTTACAATCATTATGGAAGACAAAGAAAGCTTCTAGCCCGGTTGAGACTTGATGAGCCTGGACAACTATAGTTTTTTAGCAGAGAAATGGCTTTATATGGTGTATGTGTGACTAAATTGTGAAAGTGTAATAAACTTCTTATCTGGTTTTAAAGTAGTGCAGGGGCAACTAGGCGCCTACAACATACCATAAATTGAATGTAACTGCAACCCGGTACAAGGGAAGAAGAAAGGAAAAGGATAGGCACTGATAAGATCATGAACAACATGCATCAATCCAAAAAAATTATACAACAATGTATAACTCTATTTTAAGCTAGAAGTCCAAGACCTTTTGAGGTTGCAAAGAGATCTTAACAAGAACTAACTGAAAAAATAAAATGAAAACTGGGAGGATCTGCTTACACTTAGGTGGCGTTTGGTATCAGGGATGTAAGCCACATTCCCTACAACGTGGCTTATTAAATTACATTGCAGTGTTTGTTTTGTAACAAATCACTGCAATGTAAGATTGCAATGCAATCACATTACATTGCACTCTGCAATGTTCTTAAAGACAATTTTACCTTTCAACTTTATTATCTTATTAAAAATATTTTATAATATTATAATTAAAATAAATATATAATATAGAACAAAAATTAAAATAAAATAAAATATAAAAAATTAATATTTATATAATATAGATAAAATAAATTAAAAATAAATATATAATATAAAAAATATATTAAAGAAATGAAAATAAAATATATAAATTATAATAATAAATAAAATAAAATATATGACATAAAATATATTTAAATATGATATTATATAAAATTAATAATAAAAATATAAATATATTAAAATAAAATATAAAATATTATAATAATAAATAAAAATAAATATATGACATTAAAAATATATTTAAAATGATATTATATAAAAATTAATAATAAAAATATAAATATATTAAAATAAAATATAAAATATTATAATAATAAATAAAAATAAAATATATGATATTAAAAATATATTTAAGAAATGATATTATATAAAAATTAATAATAATAATAAATAGATTAAACTTATATTTTAATAATTAGGGGTAATTTTGATAATTAGCATTACATTCCCACTAAAGTACTTGTAAACCAAACACTGCAATGTTATCTTCCCTGCATTTTAATCATTATTTTACTTACATACCAAACGCTGTAATGTTATTTTCCCTGTAATTACATTACTTGCAATCACATTACTTGCAATCACATTACCTGTAATCACATTGCATTGTAATGTACCAAACGCCACTTTATTGTAAGGTAATCATAATACCAAAGCAAATTACACCACAAAAACCTAACATCATGAAGTAAAAAGTTCAGTGATGAATCTTCTGTTCTTATTCAAGTCAAGCAACAATTTTTGAATGATAATTAAAAAAGTTTTTAAATTTTGAAATGGTGAGACCAACTCAGCGAATCCAACTTCACAACATTGAAATTGAAAGCATATTTTCTTCTATTTGACAATTGAAGAACAAATCTATGCACTCGAAACTACGCCATACGATTTATGATTTTCCTTTCTACAAAGACTAGGGAACACCCAAGGAATATCAAATGTTAATTCAAAGGAGACTAAACTGCTTCTACGATGAATCTGTTCTTTTCTAGCATAAAGTTCAGCCAAAATCGTAAATGAACGGCTCTCTTGCTACAAAAGGATCACCTCTTGACTTCTTTTCCTTCTGCAAACTGGTAAGTTGCTGAAGGAAAAAGAAACAACCAAATAATATGTCATATGGAAAGCTATGAACACCAACAACTAAGAATCATTTGCTTGTTGCTAGAGTAGTTTATGCATCAACATTGTCAAAGCTGATACAGGCTTGATTAGGAAAGACAAAGTTCCCAAAATGTCGTCCAAACTCATCTGCTAGGCCTGGAATTCCTGAGGGGAGAGGATCTTTGATGCATCAGACACAGCAGACAAACTCCCTGAAATGAAACAGATGTTAAAACTATCAAGAAAAGGACTAAATAAATTGAAAATCACAGGATCAAGCAAATCCTGAATGTTTACTATATACATATATATAGACACATACATATAAATGGCTCAGATTTATTCACTGGGGCAAACAATGAAAACAAGAGATGGGAAGAGCTCTAGATGAGAAAAGGAATAAAAGGGCTTGCACCTACTGGCAGAACATCATTCTCATGATCCCCATAGACTAGTTTCCAGCCTATTCTCCCTGGGTGTTCCAGCTGCCCCTTTACGCCAAACCTACGAGTTGTATCTTGTTCGAGCTCATCATAACCTGAATAACGGGTTACATCTATTGATCTCCTAACAGCTCCACGTTTGTGCACCTTGGAAAGGTAAATATGTAAATTAGAACCCTTGACCACTGAGATGAAAAGAAAAAGAATTTTGCGTGTGTGCATGAGTGGTGAGTTCGCACACTCACTTTTGTGGATTAGGATTAAAAGAGGCAGAGAGTCTAACTCAATGTGATTGTTCTCCAGATTTCCTGGAGAGGAGGAGGTGATGGTTTTCTCTTGTCAAGCTCAAGTAGGGAAAGATACAGAGGAATCCGCTTTAGCTTTGACAAACCTATATGACTGTGTTGGAGAGAATCACAAACCATTACTCCATTTTACTAAAAATGCTCTTCAATTCTGATATATTAGCTAATGCCAATTTCCTTAGTTTGGGAAGAATAAATTTGATGGTGTTTTGTCACAATACATAACAGTAATCTCTTCCATGTAGAGCAGAACCCACTTAGCTGAGAATAAGTTCCACAATCCTATAGAACAACAAGGCAAGACTCAAAATAAGTTTCAAAGTAAAAAAAAAAAGACAACTTAGAACAGGACAATGCAACCAAGAAAAAAGGATCACACCTCCAACTCTTAGTTCTAGCTAAATTATGGTACTCATTAGTACTTTCTTTTTCATGAAACAGGAAACAATTTAAACAAGATAAAAGAATCTCAAATATGCAAATACAAGAAGAAAGGAACTCTAAGTTAGAATTGTATGTGGTTGAACAAATAAAAAATTAATGAATCACAAAGTAGCAAATCAAATTGAAAAGTGGAAACAGACTATTGCATGTTTCAAGGAAGGAATACCATTTATGC